TAAATATACTGTGTATATAAAATACATTAAAACATAATAATAAGAACATAATAGCTTAATTTTCACCCTTTCAGTTATATTTTCTGTTGTCAAATTAACTGTATCTTGAAGATGCATCTGTGGTTTCTAAACTTGTGTCTATGCAAGTGCTATTTTTTTATCAGATTAGGTGTTAGCAACACCATCAGCTTTTATAAAGGTAGCAATTTTTTAAAGAGTTGTCTCCTGTCAGCCTGTATTACCTTAAAACTATCCATGAATATGTTCTTGTTGTAGGTGCAGATTCCRTAAGGTCTGGTTTCTGCACCAGATGTAAAGTTTTGTTTTTGTCAGGATGGAGATGTGTCAGTTCCTTTTTATCCATCTTTCTTAGCATCACTTATTTTCAGTGACATCTCAGTTTTCTTTCTCAGCTCTCACTTCTTTGTAAACATTTTACCTACAAGCATGTTGAAAATTGTAGGCATTGAGCTCTGCTGAACCACTGTCTTTTACTTTGTTTTAATGTGCATGTTTAAGCTTCAGTGTATTTATCCTTTTATGTTTTGCTTTTTCTTTATTACATTTCTAACATCATTCAAATTTATATCTATATTCTATTTCTAAACTGGACCCTACTTTATTTGTTGTATTCATTTGTAATTTTCTCTCATTTTGCTCATTGTGTTTTATAAAAAATAAACAGATTTTTAGCATGGCAAACTAAACTGTAATCTATTTTTCTCACCCTCAGCACCAGTTTTTAGATGTGAGCATTTGATYGCACTCAGACTCTGTACAGTATATAACATCACTCATTGTTTTTGACTAACATCTCTCTGAGCATCCACTTGTGATTATTGCATAACTGATGGTTCAAGAGTGAAATAACATTTACTGTAGAGCCATAGTACTGTACTGGTCTGAGACTGGTGCATGTAAACACACAAAAGTCAAGTTTGTGCACTCCACCATCCAGCATGGAGTTTCTGTTGCCTACAGGGCATTTTATATCTCTACGCATCACTACCAAATGTTTAAAGTGATTTGTAGTTGGGTTTTATTTAGGCTACTCTTGCTTGAGTGTGTGTTCTTTTTGTAATGATGAAATGTTCTGACTGTAAGTGTTTGTGTTTTATAAAGAAACACTGTTGTCCTCTCACGTTTTGTATTTGCTGTTGCTTTTAATCCTGTTTGAATTTTCCTTTGCTACTAATCACCTTTGAGTCTGTGCTTTTGTGAGTCTCTGTGATGTCAGGGTGTGTTTAAATACTTCACAGATATTTGACTCAGAGCAAATCCATGTCCCATCCAGCACTAATCTGTGAGCATCCACTCACTGTGTTAACATGAACTTGGACAGCAGAGCTCAAAAGAAAAGGCAGAGACAAAGCAGAAGAAATTAAAAAGCCGGGATAATGATCTTAGAGCATGCTTAATAATTTAGATGCACTTCGTTTTAAAGGGTCCTCACACCCTCTCTATTCGTTTTGGCAGCTAAGGAGCCACTTGAACTTTCTTGTAGGCTTGTGAAGCTGTTGCTGCAAGTGTTCATTTGTTGCATCATTACCTTCTTGTTTATGTTGAACTGATTAAAGAACTTCATTCAGCAGTATTTATTTTCTGTTTTAACATTTATTTATTTAGAAATTGCCCAGAATTTCCTCAAGTTTAATTACTTTATTCAAATTTTTTAAAAATACGTTTTTGTTAAATCTTTTCTTTAATTAAAAAAATAAATAAGAACAAAGGAAATTCAGGAACTGCAAAACATATTAAAACATTTTTTTGAACAACATTTTTTTTTCATGTTTCCACTCAATGTCAAACAATATTTTTCTTTCAAACTAGCAAGTTACTTGTGTGACATTTAAATGTTTTCTTTCAGAGTTGAGCTCCGAGAATCTTCGTACCTGTTTTCAGATTGTTAATGCCTACATTTACCTGTCTGCCACAGATTTCCTGCAGGTGAGAGAAACACACATACTTATTGTAATACAGGTTTAATCGCGCCGTATCAACTTATTATATATATATATATATATTTTTTTTTTTTTTCAGAATTATGGGGAATCGTTGTGTCGATGCTTTTGTGGTCTGCTAAAGGACATCACAAATGAAGGACAGGTCCAAGTGCTTAAGGTACGCCTTACTTCCTGACCTCATTCACACCAAATCAGCTTCTTTCTGTTTTCTACAATATTGCACACAACTGGGTTTCATCTCTTTATTCTTTTCTTAAGTTCCACATTTGTGACTTGCTTGATTTGTCTTTGTTCAGATGATGATCAGGTCCTCAGATAAAAAGAAACTGTATGCAGAACACAGCACCAGCTCTACCTCTGAACCAATCTTTAAGAGCAGCCTTGATATTCCAGAAGGGGTTCTACATAAGCTACATCAAAGAGCTCGCTTTCCTTCTCTGATAAAAATAAAAAATAAAAACAAATTCTGTTTCTGAGGAGATGTCAACAAGGCTATTCACAGTAAATATTTTAAACTTTAGAAATTAACTTTCAGAATAGTTGATGATTAAAGTTGCTGCTGTTTGATGTGTTTTGCAGTTTAAAGAGCTTCTTTATTTTTTCTTGATTAAGTGCAGTTAAGTTATCAAATCACACTCATTTGTTTGGGATCGTTTTGTAATTTGTCTCTCTGAAGCACAGACACAAGTCAAAATATTAAAATGAGTTTGCAGTAAAAAGAGTGTTGCTGCAGTCCTCAGAGAGCTATCGTTTGGCAAGAAATTTGACCACAGCACGACAAACGAAAATACCAAAAAAGCTTAATCTAAAACATTTTTATTTCTTCTTAGAATTGAGTTGTTTTATATTTTCTCTTTTATTTGATTTGAAGAAAAGTATCAGAAATTACACCAATTTTATTTACTATGTTAGAGGTATGAAAAATTAATAATGTAATCTTTTTTCTCTTTGGTATAAAGATCCTCTTAGAGTGGTGATCCTATTATTATTGTCTGGGTTTGTATCCTATGTTCTGTTTGAACAGCTCAACTGTGTGCAAGCAGAATAGCCATAAGCCCACAAAGCTTTAAGCCTGCTGGAATTATTGCACATCTGGCTTCAGCTAATTCTTTAGTCTGGGGATAGGAGAACCACTAAATGATAATGTCTACATAGCACATAGCCCCCCTGACAACATAAGGATCAGAGTAATTAGTTTACATTTCTTCGAGAAATTGATAAGCTCTGAAATGGCTGGTTGTTCAACCAATCATTGCAACCAGACTTTAAAACATCCCAAAGTTATTTTATTTTTATTTCTATCTGCAGGGCTGAAACTCTCCTCACATATAATTTCTGTAGCATTTGTTTAACATTTGAAATTTAGATTATCTTAGATTATCAGCTAGGATCATGTTGCCTTGTTGGCGTTCCAGCCTCTGAGCCAGGATTGCAGCACTGAGCTTTGGGAGTTAGTACCAACCGAGAAAAGGCCTTTTATTTGTTCTATTCTGTCACAGCATTTGTGTTCATGGGGTCCAGATTTACAGTGTGGTATTGTAAGAAAATTTAGTGTTCGTTAACTGAAATCGTGACGAAACCACATGAATGTTGACGATATTAAAATGTCAAGAGAAGGACCATACAACACCAGTGACTGGAGTGAATGGTGGTTTAATGCTCTCTGTGCAGGCATGAAACCAACGCTGAATGAAAACCGGAAGTCCCGGTCTATATATACCGTATTTTTCGGACTATAAGCCGCACCGGACTATTAGCCGCACCCGCCATTTAAAAAAAAAACCCGCGAACATTAGCATATAAGCCGCTCCGGACTATAAGCCGCACCCCTAATATAAAAAAAACCAGTACACCCAAAATTGTCGTCAAAAAAGTGAATTCAACATCAAAACATAAAAAGCAAACCTTTAGGAATTAAAGTTAGGAGGAATTTGGTTCATTTAACTGACCTTATTTTGGTAGTTTTCTTTAACAGTTTCTGGTCCAACAAAACGTCTCATTCATCATCCTCTGGYGCACTGAAACCATCGAAGTCCTTCTCTTCAGTGTCGGAGTTAAACAAGCTGAGAAAAGCTGCGTCACACAGCGGTATCTGTTCAGTGCTGCTTTCTGTGTCGCTGTCCTCCCGGGATAATGCTGGCTCTGAAGCTGTGGTGTCCTCTTCACGTAGCAGTCCAGCCTTTCAGAACCCATTGATGATGGTGGACTCATTCACTCTGCTCCACACTGTTAGGATCCACTGGCAGACATCAGGAAATGACGCTCTTCACATTCGGCCAGTTTTTGTGAATGATTTATCCTCGTCAGTCATCCAAGCCTCCCATTCACCCCTGAGTGCTGCTTTAAATRCACGATTCACACTGATGTCCAGGGGTTGCAAAAACTTTGTTTTACCTCCAGAAATAACAGCAGGAATTGAGTTTGTTTTCTTGATGGCTGCTTTCACCGAATCCGTGATGTGGGCCCGCATACTGTCCAATATCGTGTCTGTCGAAGATCTGTCGAGTCGTGTCTGCTACTAGCTAAAACAAAATGGCGCTACACCTCTGGCTAAGCTGGCAGTATGGTCGCTCGGCTGTCGACCGTTCGAYGCGCCGTCACATGGTTGTTCGGCGTTTGTTTTCGCACTGACCTTTCATAGTTCCCCCGAGAAACCCAGAGCCCAGCTGCTGGGAAACCCCTCCTGCTCCAGCATACGTCACTACATGGGATTCCTTCCCCGGGGAGTGCAATGTGGAAAAAAAAAGTCYGCGGCTCTTCACTCGACGTTTATCCTCAAACTGGTCCTGGATTAAGCTCCAAAGTTTTTATCAGTCAGATTCCACCGTGAAAAAATGTCTGTTTTATCCCCTTTTATGAGTTTTTGGCCATTGATTATCTTAAAATCGCTGCTTCCTGGTACAACAGTCGGTTCTGAAAGCGATCGCTTTTTCCTTTTTTTTTCTTTCTTTTTTTGAAGCGAGTGGTTGAAGCAAATGGAGCATAAGAGCCCCCTGGTGGCTGAAGAAAATAATCCACGTATAAGCCGCACTGGAGTATAAGCCACATGGTTCAAAGTTCAGGAAAAAAGTCATGGCTTATAGTCCGAAAAATATGGTACATGTTTCTTCAGTGCCTGGTACGCCCACTACAGGCCTACGGCTGAAGCGCTGACACTCGTACAGACATCCTTTCCTTAATATTTRATTAATGGTTTTTTATGTGTTGTGATGGTGTTTCAGGCATGTATCTAAACCTATTTTAATCAAGACATAACAATAGTCAAACACTAGATTGTAAAAATCAATACTTAAAAAGGAAAACTTTGAATATGGTGTGGTGCTTTTAAAATCATTTTCTAAATGACTAAATAAATTTCTTCAACTTCCCCCTGTTCACATGACATTTACTCATGTGAACAGTATAATCATGGATACATTGGATAAGATGTATTTGGTTCCTGATCATCTGACATGACTACACCTTTTGATAAAAGGAAAAAAAACACCCCCTGTGGTGTGAAGCAGTGTTTTTCAAAGTGGGGGCCACGGCGCTAGTAATTTTTATCTGTTGCCATATGTAGGCCTAGATGAAGTTTACTTCATTTCATTTTTAATGTCTAACACAGAGCAGATCAAACCTATGTGTTAAACAAAAATGACCAGTAATGCTTGCTATTTACTGTAGCTTAGACCTTAAATAAACCTCCAATGTTTCAATATATTTGACCTTTTTTTTACATCATCCTATGAATGACCTTTGTGCTTGTTTCTCTTGTCTATTTTCTCTTTGCTGCATTTCATGAGTGTCCTCCATCTTCCCTCTCCTTGTGTCTCTGCAGGTGGTTGAAATAGCTTTAAAGGTTAGCCCCATACTGGGAGCTCACATGTTTCAGCCCCTTCTGCCAGCTGTCTTCCGAGGTATAGTGGATGGCGAGGTGAGTTGTATGTCCTTCACACGTATGGATCAGTTATATACACTGCAAGAAAAGCAAATGTTAGGATATTTCATGTTATATGTGGTGCGTATTCCAGTTTAACCAAACTTAAGAGGTTTTCCTTGAAATGATTCTTTGTCATGCAGTATTCTGCTTCTGTCCTTATAAGTTTAGTAAAAACTGCATGATCACTTAGAGGAATTAGAGAATATAGGTGACCTTTGTAGGATTTTGCTGCGTCAAAAGTCCTTTTTTATAATTCCCTGTCAAACTTAATGTCCTGTTTTATTTTAAAGGCTCATGCAAGTGGCTTTTATATTGGATTGTGTGATTATGTGTGTGTTGCACAGCGATATCCGGTGGTGATGTCCACCTACCTTGGCATCATGGGTCGTGTGCTGCTCCAGAATTCCAGCTTCTTCTCCTCCCTGCTCACACAAATGGCTTCTGAATGCAACCAGGAGGTGAGGCTTGGCTTGATGTCTGCCCTTCACTTCTGTCACCTCAGCACCAATGTTTCTAAATGTCTCCGCGAGACAAAGTGGCTGTTAAAAAGGAGTCATTCTGATCGAGGCTGAAAGTAATGAGCCAGGGAATTACAATGGGGAGACATTTTCAGGCCTTGAAATCTTGACTCTGCTTCCTCCACTGTGAAATTCTGATGTTGCCATTTTTATTTTGTTTATTTTTAGATAAAGTCTTAACTGTTTGTTTATTGTAATGTGCAGATTGAAACGTGTGTGTTTTAATTTATAAGAACAAAACAGGAACAAAAATTGGATTTTTGCTGACCTTGTGACACAGTATTGTTTATTGTTTGTTTATTGATTAGGATTCCCATTAGTTTCCACCAAGATGGTTACTAATCTTCCTGGTGTCCAACTGATATAACATACAATATTTATACAGCACATAAAATCACAACATAAAAAGCATAGTAGAAGCATACAGGTGCTGGTCATAAAATTAGAATATCATGAAAAAGTAGATTTATTTCAGTAATTCCATTTAAAAAGTGAAACTTGTATATTATATTCATACATTACATACAAACTCATATATTTCAAATGTTTATTTCATTTAAT